GACTCCCTTGGGCTCTGCCCAGAAGGCGCTTCCTCCCTTCTTTCCAAAGAATACCTCTTGGGGAAAACCTCCCCACTGGCTGGCCCCAAATCAACTGGTATTTCTGGGAACTGGACTCCTGGCACCACTGTGCCCCCATGTCCCCTCTGTGCTCCGGGCTCTCTGTCCACACCGCTCCTGCCACCTGGGGGCACTCTGTCCACTGCACTGTGGGGCTGCGGTTTTTACCACAAACTCTGTCTTTCTGGAAACCAGGGGCACCTGTTGCTAGTACCTGGCTCAATAGTTCAAGCAAAGAGATTGACAGCCAACATCTCAATAGATATGTGAAAGAATGAACCAGAAAACTGCAACTAGGAATGGGTTTCTGGGAAATGACGCGTGATCCCACCCTGGCTCCTGTTTCCTGTCTGTGTGACTTGGGACAGGCATGCTTACCTCCCCACGGTGGAAGGGGAACAGCAGTGCTACTGGTCACCATGAGGATCGAACACGGGAGGGAGGGCCCAGCACTGGGAACACGCCTCCCTCCCCATGTCCCCGGCACCAGTCCTCGGAGGTTCAGTAAACAATGGAAAACAGGATGTCAGTATTAAGTTAGGTTGAAGAGGGGAGAGTTTCGAGGTAGAGAGTAACAAAAGAAGGCAGAATGGGGGAGGAAGGGGGGCACACAAGGTCACTCTAGCGCATGGGTCTCTTGACAGCGAAGGATGTAGCCAGGCCAGAATTATGAAAGACTTGACCAGCCTGGTCCCTGCTCCTGAGTCTGCCCCCGGGAGCCATCCACTACAGTCTGAGAGAGGGGGTGGGGGGCTCACTTCCAAGGTCTCAGTCCCCCCCCATACATCACCCTACAACTTCCCCACTCTCCAAAAGCCAGAAAGCTTTGGGCTGGCTAACAGGAACATAAAATTAAGATGAAGTCAGAATATTTGAAACTGGAGCTGACTCGCCAATTCCAAGACCTAAAATTAATTAAGTCATTAGCTGACGGGCTTACAGTAAGACACCATCCAAGTAATATGTAAATTACTGCTTTCAAAGGAGTTTGCATTTTAAAAGCTCCCTAGGGAAAATCTCACTAACATCTCCCCTCCCCCACACTTTTCCAGAAACTACAAAGCAAAGGAGGGTCTCTTAAAAAAAAAAAAGACAAATAGCAAATCGGGATAAACCTAACATGTGTGGACCTAAGCCTACTACATACTTTTCTGCAAACTATGAAGTGTTCGGAGAGAAGGTCCAGAGTATCTCTATACAAAGGACATTCTCTAAGCATTGCTAGGAAATGGGTGTCAACTGTAGGAACCGAGCAGGGAACAGAGGAAATATAAGGTTGGGGGAGGTACCTCTTGCAGGATCTTGCAAACAATAGTCACTTACAATCTCTCTTCCCCCTCTATTCCCAGTTAACAAGTAGCTGTAAAGGCCTGGCTCAGCTTTAAGAGGACCTCAAATTCTGAAGAAAAAGCTTAAGAACCAGAACAATTTACCAAATGGATAATCAGAGCTCAAAAACTGACCTACCATATCTAACCACATCTAATTACCTTAGCAATTCTTATTCTCAAAAATATTCATCCTCTGTGCTCTCCCCGCCAAAAGGAATGTTGTGTCTGCAACACAGAGTAAAGCTAAAGAGTAAAACCCCACAGGATTCTAACTCGGTTTGCACCTCTCAGCAGAAGTCTACACATGTCATGGTGAAAGGTGATGTGCTTTGGAAACCCAGGCAGGCCATATGTTGGTTAGGGAACAGAATAGCACAGTTCACGAGAACGCCATGGTATAACTGCCCAGGGTCTACACATTTCACAGTTGGCCACTACCGTTCCCAGTAAGCACTAGGATTTCAGTTTGCATGATGAAACTGTCCAAGCGGTAGCTTCGGCATGAGCATGATTTAGCAATGTCCATAGCGCAGCCCATTAGAGCAGGTACACAAATCTTTGCAGAACTTTTATTTTGATATGGCTTCTGCACATCAATGTAAGAAAAACATCCTTTTTTCTTTTTCATTCAATAAAACCATGTTCTCAGCACCCAATCGATCCCAGGCTATCCAGATAGAAAAAAATGAGTAAAATACTGACTTTGCCCTCCAGGCATTCACAACTGACAGTTTTTCAAAATCATTTTCTCCTAAATCTTTGTCTATTTACATATTCACTTATTAGCATTATTCACTCAAGCACAGCTCAAACAATTTCATGCCATAAATTATGCCATTATTTCTTCTCTAAATAAGCATTTTGTTAACAATTATCTAAAAGCAACTGGTGAGGAACTGTGCAAGACTGGATTAATTTAAATGCAAAATGTGTCCTGATAAACTCAACCATCCGTATTTACTGAGTGAGACAGATTTATGCCTCTGGGGCAACACCCAGAAACTGTGCTCATTCACCTAAAAAGGTTTGAACTTCATAGGCCTTGGGGTTTGATTTTTACCCCTTGGAAGAATCAAAATGAATAGACTAGCAACTGTGCCGAAACCTGGTTAGTACATTTGGATATATATTTCCCCCACTAGCCCTACCCCGCCCCTCAAGTTCAGTATTGAAAAACAATCTTTCGAATAGCATTTTCCTAAAATACTGGGCATGATTACATTTCTACCAAGCTGCTCTGGGTTAGTTAACTATAGAGAATCCTGGCATCTGGCTCCTGATGGTGGGAGTCAGAGAACTGGGGTGCAGGCTGACATTGTCAGCTAACAAGATATATATGCCCTTGGTCAAGTCACTTCACCTATCTAGGCCGATAGATCGCAAAATCCCTTATTTTAAATACAAAATGAAGGACATTGTGTCTTTTTAAAAAAAATCTCAGTAAGAACAGAGAAAGGCAGGTGTTGTCTTGATATAGTCCCCCAAAGATGCAGTTTTGTGTAAACACTTGGATGACAGCTTTGTAACCAAAAAGAGATCCTTCCTTTTAACCTGGTGACTTTCTCCAGGCATGTACAAAGGACAGGTAACCCAAGTTTTCTGAATTTTACTAAGAAACAATTCTGATGTTCAAGTTCACCCCAAAGGAAAATAATCGTGTATAAAAAATGGATAAACATAGGTGAACATAAGCGATTGGAGACCATCTTGACTGGTTCTTTTCCAGCCTCTCACTGAACTAGTTCTGTAAGGAGTATTTTCTTTTCTCCCGCATCTGCAGCAGCTCTGGGCGTCTCAAGCCCCACCCCACCTCTTAACTCAGCCAAAGAACACTCTGCTGCCATTGACCCAACAGCGCTGGAATCTGCCAGGGAAAGGGGGGTACATTTTCAGACAGTGCCACCTGCCAACCCTCCCCTCCAAACAACCCGAGGCCCCACTTCATTTCAGTGAGCCCCTCCAACTCTCCCCTCCCCAGCCTACGCCCCGGTAAGGATGCAATGTGATGTTATCAAATTCATTTCCTTAGTGACTGATAATTTACAATGAGATCTAAGCAAGAAATAAGATATGCTTCTTGCTCGGCAAACTTAAAAAACAACCTGTCACCACAACTTTAAAATGTTCATTGGGTTTTCTGGAATTTCACTGAAGGACTATGTTCATTAGCAATGTTCAGAAAATGCAAAGACAGGTGGTTTTAAATTTGAAAAAATATATACTTTTGTTTGTTTGTTTGTTTGTTTTTTTAATATCAGAGAATAAGAGGAGACAGAAATCTTTGACCAACCTTCCCCGGTTCTCTGTATAGTGATAATCAAAAATACCAATGGAGCCCTGAAAATGGAACTGGGACTTTGGCTAGCAAAAACGAGACACAAGACTATTTGAAGGAGAGAGGGAGGGAGGGGGGGAGAGAGAGAGAGAGAGAGAGAGAGAGAGAGAGAGAGAGCGCGCGCGCGCGCGCTAGCATTTATTGAGCACCTACTACAGGCCAGGCAGTATACAGAGCACTACATATACATCGAGTTAGCTAAATCTCAGAAAACCTGAGAAGCCAGGCTCTTTGCCTCACTTTTCAGGTGATGGAACTGGAGAACAGAAGGACTGACTACCTACGTCGTATAATCAGTCAATGGGAGAGTGGGGATTTGACGCAGGCTAACACTCACTCTGAAAGCCTACGAGCTTAATTACTATGCTAAAAACCAATCTACTGTTCATCCTTTTGAAAAGGGAGTTTTTTCCTAAAAACTACACCTTCCGCTTGAAAAATTAAAGATCCCAAAGTAAATCCAGAGCCCTTTCCGGTGACCTACACGACTGCCAACTCCAAATCTTTAAGCACAAATTGACTTTTTATGTGTAGATTAAGATGTCTGACTGTAATAATCCCCACCCAACTGATTCCTCTACCTGCCCACCGACACCTCCACCAAAGTAAATCTGATACCAAGCTTCATTCTCCATGCAGAACTATTTTTCAGAAACTATGCCAAATTCATGGGCGGTTTGAAAACGTTACAGGACATTTCAAAATACATGACAAGACATTTAACAAAATAAGTCCCATTGTTTTGAGTCCCAAACATGTAACAACAAACACCCTGTAATTCTACAAGTTGAAAAACTGCAAACAGACTATAAAGTTTTGGGTGGTGCTGAGTAAAGGCTATGGTTGCTTTTCTTTCTGGCCAGACAACAAATGGTGAAGAGATAAACCTCAGTTAACCTCAGCCTCTTCCCAACCCCAACAGTGACAGTACACCAGCCAAATACTAATTATTTACATTTACTCTTTGAAGGACTCTTTCCAGTTTTTTCCACACCAACTTCTCAGCAGGTGTCCCAGATTAAACTGTTGACTACCACCCGATTGTTTAAAAAAAGATCTTTGATGTGATCTGTGGCTGGTTCTTTTTTAATTAGGGTTTGAAATCCTATACCCTGGCCACTTAACCCCCTAAGAACTGGAACCAGAAGGACGACTCCAAGGAGCGGGCTGGCAAGTCAGCGCGCGCACAGGGAGCCCCGGGTCGCAGAGGGGCTGCCCTGCCCCACTGGCCCGCGACCGTCCCCTTCCCTGTGTCCCTCGCTCCAGGAACTCACCAGGATGCCCATCACATCGGTCCAGAGCCGGGAGAACGCCATGGATGTGCTGGCGCCCGTCTCCGGCTCGGGCTCGGGCTCGGGCTCCGGCCCCGGGCCGGCTGCTCCCGCATCCTCCATGGCCGCGTCCCGCACGCGGGCCGTGCGTCCCGGTCCCTGGGCACCCACACCCCTCACCAGCGCGCAGCCCGCCCCCGGCGCCGCGGCCCCGCCCTCCGTGTCACCGAGCCGCGGCCCCGCGCCGCATCCCCGGCGACCCTCGGGGGCCCTCGCAGGCGCCCGCACCTCGGCTCTAGGTGGCGGCGGGCTGCGCGACTGACAACTCCCGAAACTTTCCCACCCCGGCTGCGCGCGGCCACAGGGTAACCGGAGGCAAAGTTCGCACCACTGAGTTTTACGGCGGGGATTCTGGCCGCCCAGAAGCAATTAAACCCGCTGCAAAGGCGTTTCTTCCTGTGACGAGGACCGACGCACTCAGGCACGCGACTGATTTCTGCCAGCAAGTCTGGGCAGAGCCCCGCAGGGGTGACCGCGGCGCCTCGGGAACTTGGACGCAACCCCCGGGACCCCTCTCTTCAGAATGAGCTCTTCCAGCTCCACATGACTCGCTCCTCTCCCAGCGCAAGAAAGCGTTTAGCAACAAAAGGTGCTCTGATGTCAGGCTCTTTGCATGGAAATGAGCCCCAGACAGGAGAACAAACCGCCTGTTGAACGAGCAGCCGCGCTGCAGCCTGCAGCCTGCGCAGGTTTCCGATCACGCTGTTCACGGGGACACTCGGGTCGCAGGAGCTGCCGAAAGTTCCTGCGCGGGCTCCTTCTGCGGACAGAGTTCGCCAGCCCTCGCCCACCATGCACCCTCGCCCACCATGCACCCTCGCCCTTCGGGAAGTCAAGCGACCTGGGGAATTACACTCTGCCTCTGTAGGCCGAGACGTGGCTGAAAAGCAAGTGTGAACGCTTGGGCACGAGCCCTTGTTTACATCGTCTCCATCTGCAGCAGGGTTTCGGTTCCTAGGCGCCCACAGTGCCGAGCACTGCTAGGGGTCCCATCTGATTAGAGAAAATGCGCTTGGGGTTTTAGTGGCTCCTGTAGAGCAAGGACATAGGGGAGGACCACTCTGGAAAGAAATGTGATGGCGGTAGCCATTTAGCCAGTCCTCACTGGGGACCCTGTGTGTTTTTTTTTTCCAAGGACAAGATCCATGACAGATTTACTTTCTGAGGGAAATAGCCCTGGAGAGGTACTTCCCCTTTTGTGATTCTTTCATCAAAAACCACTCAGGGAATTTTTCCTGGGATGTGACAGTAGGCGTCACCTTTGATTTGGTGATTGATCGCTTTGTGAAACAGTTAAGAAGCCACTAGAAACCAGCCGGTGTGAAAGGCTGAGGGGTAGAAAAAGCAGGTGAGGTGCCCCAGGGAGGTGGAATCCTTGCTGGTTTCAGAGGCCTCTCCTGGTATTGCTGTTTTCTTCTGAGCCCACAAAAAAGGAAGGGGATAAGAACATGTCCTTGAAATTACTGGGATAACTACCCATGCAAATGGGTAAATAGCCCTTACAGGAGAGTTCAAATAAAGTACTTACATTTATAAACCTAATCCTCAAAGACACTGTTCTTGAAAAGAACACAAAGGAATGAGAAAGTGTTCTCTGGATAATGTGGAGGCATTGTGTTGATGTTTCTAGAGCAACGGAAGCTGAATCAATACGACCAGGCCAGGTATTTCTTGTGCTGATGTCGGAGATGCTCGGAATCCAAATAAATTCAGTTAAAGCCGTGGTAGGCTTATTATTATTATTATTATTATAGCTATAAAGAGATGAAAAAAAAAAGTAAATGATGGGAACAGGTAAAATACTCTTTTAGAGTTGATTTTACTGGTATATTTAAGAATTTCAATGTGCAGTATTAGCCATTCAGTGCTTTATTAAATTCAAGAAAATACAAAGAACTGTGCTGCTTCTATCAGTAGGCAGCTTGTTCCCTGCACAAATACTTTCTGGCAAGTGACTGAGCAGTATCCGGCAAATCGAGGGGTAGGGCTGGATTAAGGGGAGGGCTGACTCTCCAGCACCAATCACAGTCTTTCTCTTAACTCGTCAGATGACCTAGGAGCAAAGCACTTAACCTTGGAAGGAGGGCGGGGGCGTTTCCCAACCCTAGATGAGGCAAGACCATACTAATTGCCACCTACCTCCTCAGAGGTGATATTATATTTCAGGGTCATCTCAAGATAGATACACAAATATCGATATAATTCAACCTTAGCCAGCATTTTGACACTTACAGAAATCAATCCACCCTAGATATTTAAGCTCTTTTGCCTGGTGCTCCCTAATAAATGGATAGAAAAATGAGATAAGTAATGTTTGGGGGGGGGGGGAGGACGTTGATAACAATATATTTTTTTTCCTTTACTTTTAGTATTAGCATTTACTTTATGTTAAATTTACTCCCAGGACATAAGCTTTTGTTTCTTTAGTTTCTTCTGGGATCTCTTTTTCTTCTGTGCAACCTCTTCTAGTTTAGGAACAATCTGCTCTTTTTCAGTGGGATCCTCTCCATGTGATCGGGAGAGCTCGTGTGTGTGTGTGTGTGTGTGTGTGTGTTCATCTGCCCATGAGCGCTTGTAAATTCAACACTGCATCTTGGGAGATTTGTTCACCTGGAAGTGCCCAATGACCAGAGAATCTATGTCTAAACCCTTAAGTTCAGCATTACTCTGCATTTTTAAGCACATGCAGCAAAAATTCAGCTCTCTTTTTAGGCTACCAATCCTGCGTCCAGCCCCACTGTTTGGCCTGGGCACACCTACCAAGTCCTCCATTGTAAAATGGAATGGCACACATGGCTTCTGTAAAGGACATCCTTCAGATACTTGCTGGCTTTTCTGATATGCATACCCCTGATGGCCTGGGCAGTTTCATGAGTGCTCTTAAAGTGAACGCGTAGATTTGAACCTCTTGATTTGCGTGTGTGGGGGGCTTTCTGGGCCAAGTGAATAGCGAATCATTTTCAGAAGTCACCTCTGGCAGCTTTCAGGAAGAGCTCAATAACAATAGTTTTGCTGTCTGTAACAACAGGTGAAATTTTGAATAGTCACTTTTACTTCTAAAACATGAATAGTTTTGGTGATCACTTAAAAAATGAGGCTGAACCTATTTACTCATCAACTTCAGGATGCGACCCCTCAAAATAAGTCTGCTTATTCTACCAACTTTAAGTCTTTTTCCCCTTCAGTTAATGCCAATCTTTAATTCCAGAAATTCCTTTGGGGCTTTTTAACAAAACATGGAAGAATGATCATCAACTGATCATACTATTTCGGAGTCCCACAGAGTACCGTTTACAAAAAGCTTTACCATAGGGTGGGGAAAGGGCCCAGGAGGTGAACTGGTCAAATCCCTTGTTTTTCAGATGAGGAAATGAGCTCCTGAGAACTTGATTGGTCAGGCCAAGCGAATACAGCTACATTGAGCAAATCAGAGGCAGACAACTTGATCACTTTTAAAAGTGCTTTCATCTATATTATAATGTATTTGATTCTCACAAAGCTTAGGAAGGTAGGCAAGTAGAGATGCTCCCTTAAAGATGTGTGTACAGAAAGTATACAGGGATCCTGCCTGCCCCTTTTCCCTTTCCCTAGGTCTCTGTCTCATCCAGCTCATTGGCATTGTTATGATGGGGGGGGGGGGGGGATTTCCAAAGGATTCTCTTCTACCAAAGGATGTAGAAGAGTATTTTCCTCTTCTAGGAAGGGATATAGAAGAGGACTTTCCAGGCATCTCTGAGAGACTCAAAAGTTGATTGTGAAATCAATTCTGTGGGTCCTGCTAAACATTTGTTAGAATGAATTAAAAGACAACTATCAGAATGCATTCACTGAGAGTAAATATTGATAATGCACTTATCTCAATAAGTTATTTCTTCAAAGTTAGTCTCAGTGATATTGTTGCACATATATGTGTGCAACACATATGCACATATAGTCACACATGTACATATAAATGTAAATACTAGCTTGTTTTGTAAAAAGTGGTTCTTACTATGAGTTGTGAGTAGAAAAAAGTAAAAGCCACTAATGTAGATGTTGCAGAGTGCTGTGGGCAGTCTATGGAGGCCACCATTCTGACAAAAGGAAGGTAAGCAGCCTGTTGCTTGTCAAGGTAGAGTCAAGGTAGAGTTTGGTGGTAGGAAGCACAAAGATAATGGGATCAGGAAAGAGCTGGCTTAAATTTTTACTCAAGTTTTTATAAGGCTTGAGTGAAAGAGCAAGTGATTTATTAGGAAAGTTATTTATCTCGTCTGTATGATGAAATAATCCCACCTATTTAATAGGTTGTTGTGATGATGCAGATGACGATCCTCTATGAATTAGAACCTTTCCCCCTTTCCGTCACTTTGCTCTTCCTTCCTTTACCCACCGTGAGGTGATGTCTGTCAAATTTCCTTGTTCACACTTAAACCTCTTGAGTTACACAAAGGAGTAATGACTTGAGTAGGTTATCTCTAGTGGTTTGGGGGTCATTAGGGCTATTCAGTTTTAATAGTAAAGGTAACAATAACAGTAATATCAATATTTATCATTTATTGATAATCTACACTGTCAGACACTGTTTTACAGTTTAAAATTATTCTATTTAAATTTTGCCCTGGCCGGTTTGGCTCAGCGGTTAGAGCGTCGGCCTGCAGTCCAGAGAGACCCGGGTTCAGTTCCCGCTCAGGGCACATATCTTGGTTGCAGTTTGTCCCCGGCCCTGGTTGGGTTGTGCAGGTGGCAGCCACTCGATGTGTACCTCTCATGTTGATGTTTCTCTCTCTCTCTTCCTCCTTCTCCCTCCTACTCTATCTGAACAAAAAAATGGGAAAATGTCCTCGGGTGAGAATTTAAAAAATAATAATAAATTTTAAAGAGAATTTATGACTTTTCACTGTGATCCAGCCCTCCCACCCCGCTCCATTCCCACGTCAGTAATATTCAGTTACATCCATATACTTGTTCAAACTACCAGCCTCCGAGACATGCTTGACTCCTCCTCCTGCACCGCCACTCCCATCGAACCTGCGGGTAAGCCCTATTGATTCCAATTCCTCAAATACGTTAAGTTCATCCACTTT